AGAAGATGAGCAAACATGGCCTGATGGAGCAGCCATAGTAGCCTGAGTGATTAGACATAGTGACCTGATGAGGTAGACATTGGTTTTGGAAACCTTGTGACCCGGGTCTTGGTACGACGGCCCAGACGTGACTCGGGCCTTGGTACGACGGCCCAGACGTGACTCGGGCCTTGGTACGACGGTCCAGACGTGATCCTTATGATGGTACGGAGGTGACTGTCCTGGGCCCAACCCAAAAGTTACTTATTTGTCGTACGTGAGATTCTGGTCCCTCTAGGCGTCTTACAACTTGTATTCCAACCCGCCCTTCACTCTACCCACACCACCCGCCCTCCACCACAACAACGCACCCACCCACCACCTCAATCCACCACTGCCGTTTTATCTCGTTTATGGCAGCACTTCTCCCCCATGTTTATGATACGTGGTTACTTTGATAGCGGAGCGGCGGCGGTGTCCAACAATGAGACGGTCTTCCAGTAGCGACCGGAACACGACTCCCTGGGTTTGTATCCGCCAGGGAGACCAATCCAGGCATACCAGGCCAGGGAGGACACTCAGGGGAAAGAGCCCAGTGAGACAAACCCAGGGAGATCACCCAGGGAGATCAACCCAGGGAGGCCAAATCAGAGAGACACCAGCCCAGGGAGACAAAACCAAGGAAACCCAGCCAGGAAGACCCATCAAACAACCTCACTCAGGGTTACTGTAATGTTTTTATGCGATGCGTTGGGTCGAGACCCGGAAATGGGGCTCTGGACACATCTGCCGTTATACCGAACACCTTCCTCACTGAGTGACCCATACGAGTTTAAGTCTTTGCAAATAATAATACTGACATAACAACTTCTACATCACTACTACAATCGACACCATCAATACTACCATCAATACTACCACCAACACTACCACCAACACTATCACCAACACTACCACCAACAATACCACCAACACTACCACCAACCTAAAACTCTCATTAATATATCTTCACCCATGTTTTAGTTTCTTGTTCACCATTAAAGTTCATCTTTGCCCTGATTTCCATTAAGATTCACCTTTGACCTGATTTCTATTCAGGTTCATCTGTAATTTGATTGGCATACGAGAAATACCCATACAAGAGGTGGGTAATGCAAAGCGTTAACTACGCACGGAGTAATGACTCAAATATCCACAATAGACAGAAAAATAAGAAGATACGCAGCAGATACATAAAATACATATTCAAGACACTCGCGTACAAGATATGGATACATGCAAGATACGAGTATACGCAAGATACGGCTGTATATGTAAGATACAGATATTAGGGTTTGGGTAATAGCCACTTTTCAACAAGACTTCGTCACCCGGCGCAGGAATTTACAATTCCGTGATTTACGGCTCCGCGTTCATAGCCATCCATCCTTTTTTTTTCCAACCCTTTGGCTCCTCTTCCTTCCACACTCCTTACCGTCCACCCATTCCTTACCCCCGGGGTAGAGATTTGGTGGAGGAGGGATAGTGAAGCGGTCGATGATACTGGAGCGGTGTGGTGGTGGAAGGAATACTGAAACATAGATGAGGCTAGAGGAACGGGATAGTGGACAGAGGAACGGTTTGGGGGGATACGGGAACTGAGTTGGAGACAGGATAGAGGAACAGGGAGAAGAATAGAGGAATAGGGTCGTGGATCGAGGAACAGGATTGATGATATAAAGGAACTGGGTAGTGGATAAAGGAACTGGGTAGTGGATAAAGGAACGGGCTGGTGGACAGAGGAACGGGCTGGTGGATAGAGGAACGGGCTGGTGGATAGAGGAACGGGCTGGTGGATAGAGGAATGAGCTGATGGACAGAGGAATGGGCTGGTGGACAGAGGAATGGGCTGGTGGATAGAGGAACGGGGATGATGGCTCAAAGTGAAAAATATTTAAAAAAAAAATTAGGTACACTGGCAGTGTATGGAAGGTCAGCAAAATATAGTGAATAAAAGGGAATTTGAAAAAGTGGGATATAAAACAGAAATGACTAAGGACGAGTAGAGAAAGAAAAAAGATAAATCAAGAGAGTTTGAAACAAAGGAATGAAACAAACTCTAGGATGGATGGAGAGGGAGGGATGGAGAGGGAGGGATGGAGAGGGAGGGATGGAGAGGGAGGGATGGAGAGAGAAAATGCAAGATAATTTTTCATAATAACTAGATACATCAGCAGTGTGCTGCTTCCCTATTATCATAGTTACACAGTGGGAACAAAAGCTGGCAGTGTTTCTCATATTCCATCAAGCAGGGTGAGTTACACAGTCAGACACACACACACATACACACACAACTGTGAATCGACCCCTGCAACCACAACTAGGCGAGTACACAAACAGTGCTAGCGTCAGTCTGAGCTGGGAGACTTCAGTAGGGCGATGATGATATATTCTAGTACTCCATTAAAGATTCATCAGCTAGGGCAGCTTCAAAGGTTTCCTCCCAGCAGAGCTGCAGTTACTATCATGTTGGACCATCTACAAACACAAGAGAAATGGAATTCTTATGCAAATATCTCCATCACAAAGCGGGGCAATAAAGATTATATACAGGAGAAAGAATGTATACAGCTATACATAAAGGTACAAGGTAGATTCGTAACTGCCATAGCTTCTAGATATTTCGAGGCTACTTTACGTGGAGGAACTTGAGTACACTTTCCTGCATAACGATAAAAACATGATAACAATGAGAGGTACTTATCTTTTAACAGCACGATTTCCAGCAGCCTCTCCCTGGAATCGCCTTCCATGTTTCTGCACTTGTGTCCACAGTGGCTGAGGATAGCGAGCAATCTGGGTTAACTCTGTCGCGTTGTATGTATTCCAGTATGTATAAATGTCTGGATTATGATTAGTCATGTGGGTTTTGGTGTTGGCATTCTAATGACGGTCTCTAAGGTGGGAAATATTTTAACATTGGCCTAAACACTGCAGTGTTTTCAAGGGGCAAATGAAAGGGGAATGAAGCTTGCCTGATTCATATTGTAACTGGAGTCTTATGTCGTTAGAGAGACACCAGGTCGTTATTGGTGTCTTGACAGTAGAATGAAGAAATGTCACTCAGGGAATGTTGCACTAGTGTCACACGTCGGGAATGTTATTGTCCAATCACACCGGTTACACAAACCATACCACGGGTGGGGTTAGTACCCGCGATCAGAGTCACAAAACTCCAGACCGTCGTGAGTCATGCTGATCGGTTACGCACTATTGTCACTCACTATCATTAGTTTACGAGTTTCGTGGGATTATCCACAATAGGGAGAAAGTTAAATAACACTGTATTTTAAGTCACTCCCAATGTTCACTCGAGAAAGGGACACGGAGACGCTAATAAACACTTCGTGATCAGTTCTACCGGGAATTCCTGACTCGTGTTTGGCACTAGAGCAATTTCCTAGTTTTCCTGAGATTGTCAGATCAAGTCTTGAACGCGCGGCCACTGTTCCTTTGTACTTCAGCGGGAGGGCACGCGTTCCCGCTCGTTCCTTGAGCAGTCTGACCCTCTTGGGCACCGCAATTCGCGTCCCACAAAGGAAATGCTGACTTCAACTTCATAGACATTCATTGCTACCTTTTGCAACAGTTTTCGTCCTAGAATCCCTGTTTCTTGGAATCCAAGAAAGGGGTTCCTTGTGACGCCTCGTCTAGCAAATGGCTTTGATAATTCGGTTCTGGGAGGGAGAAAGCAAGAAGGTTCACAATCCCTTCTGAGAGGGATACCCTCTTTGGCGGTTATTACCCCCCTTCAAGAGGGGGAATATCGCCCCCTTCATAAACTGGAGATTTTTCTCCACATTGTATATGCCTATCTGGAGAGTGTTCCGGGGGTCAACGCCCCCGCGGCCCAGTCCTTGGCTAGGCCTCCCAGCATACTTTTTCTTACACATTAGTTTTACAGGCTAAGAGCTGTTATTCTACCTCAGCTCATTTCAAAGCCCCACCCTATCTAAATTACACTACCACCCCAAATCTGCACACAGAAATCACTCCCTACGAAAACGAAAGACTGGGCAGACTGTGCCTCCAATGAAAAGCAGAAGCGCCATGAGTACACTAAAACACAGTAAGTGTCCGGGGCCCAAGACTGTTCAACAGCGTCCCACCAGCCATAAGGGGATTCAAGAATAGACCCCAGGCTACCTTCAAGAGGGAACTGGACAGGTACCTAAAGTCAGTACCCGACCAGCAGGGCTGTGATTCTTACGTTGGACTACAGCACTGACCTGAGGTATGTGTTCAGTTCCCTCTTGAAGACAGCCAGAGGTCTATTGGATTTTCCCCTTTTCTATGATGAGAGGCTGTTGAACAGTCTCGGGCCCCGGACATTTATTATATTATTGTAGCAATGGCGCTCATGCTTTTCATTGGGGTTTAGGGGTATGTTGAACCAGAGAGGGAGAAAGTGGGGGGGGGAAGCTAATGGGAAGAAGTAGTAACAAGACTGTAAGAAACAGAGGATGGACGGAAGAAGACAGAGAACGGACATCTTGGCTGCTGTTTGACGGGACACTCAACTAAAGCCAGTGAATCCTTCTGTTTTCAAGTTGATGAAACACGATCCTCAGAGCCACGTGGTCGTGGCTCCTGGCGGCCACGTGGGATACGCCACGCCCACCCTACCCAACCACCAATCAGAGAGCATCCTGCCGATTCCCAGCCTCTATTCAACACTGATTGGTCCGCTGGTTAATGACGTTGAATGTATCGTGCGTAAGGGGGCGAGGCTACAAAATGACGTCATAAACGTACAATTACATCTGCACTGTTTTTGTACATTAAAAACATCATTGTTTCATGTGATTTTATCCCATCTAAGAGGATTATGTAGAATTTACAGTTCAGTAAAGAGAAATACTAAACAAGAGTGTGAACAATGGTGAATAATCGTAAAAAATTCTTCGTGAAGGTGTGTGTGGCAGCTACGGTGGAGTGCGTCCAGGCTGACAGTCGTGCGCGAGGATCAGTTGACGTCTGGTAGTCGCGTGTGGTGGATGCATTTCCCTCACGGACACGCGACTAGCTGGTAGACGTACGTGTGCCAGCAGTCTTTCTCCGGCCCGGACGTGGATGACACAGTGAACCGGGTTATTAAAACTTCGTATATTCACGTAAACAACAACGAAAAATAAGCGTTTAGACCTTGAGTACAGAGGATTATTACCACTTGTGAAGAGAATTGCGTTAAATGGTGCAGACATCTGCGTAATGGTGCTGAAAGTTGCGTAATACTGCAATGTGCTCCTCAACAGACTCCAGCATGGCAGATACGCAGAAATCCCGCAGAGTAAGTAATGTGAAAAGTGTTGACACAATATACCAGTGGAATGTAATTCTTACTGCAGATACATAATATGACTATTGTATGGCCCTTGTGGGTTTACGCTTAGTTTTACTTGTAATAATATCACTAACGTTAGTGTACATGGCCCAATGTTTGAGAGAATATATAAAATAGGTAAAATTGGTCAATTACCAAGAACTTATTTAAAATTAAGTCCTTTCCAAAATTATCTCTTATACGTTTAAATATATATTTTTTCATTATGTTTATGTAAAAATTAATAATTTTGTACCAAAAGAAGCTTACAAAACTTACCTAACCTTATTACAACAAGCGCAATTTAATGTAACATTGTGGAACTAAATATATTTTAGATAAGTTCACAATAATTTAATAATAAACACAAATATATTTTTTTCGTTAGGCTCGTTAAGATTTCGCGAAATTATTCCATACACAAACTTTCGCTTGCTTTATTCGGCAAGAGCGTTACTTTTTAAGCCAAAATCCCAAATTTTAAATGTTCAGCACGACATTATATATATATATATATATATATATATATATATATATATATATATATATATATATATATATATATATATATATATATAATACACACACACACACACAGGCTAACATTCGGGAAGAATTTGAGGTAATCAATCCCTCAGCCTCGAGTCGAAATGTTTGCGACCGTTTCGCCCTTCAAGGGTGCTTGAAGTATAGGTTCAGGTACACAAAAGTCCAGGTACACAAAAGTCCAGGTACACAAAAGTCCAGGTACACAAAAGTCCAGGTACACAAAAGTACAGGTACACAAAAGTACAGGTACACAAAAGTACAGGTACACAAATTCAGTCGACCATAACTATGATACAGAGTTACATATATGTAAAAAAAAAAGTCATTGTGGCTTATTTCCATTACATCATACACGACTGCCTTTCATTTCCCATGCTGTGACCCTTACGGATTTAGCACTTCCCAGTAAATATAACAAACTAATGATAATTAGGTAGAGCTACACTAGTCGGCAGATGTCTATTTACAGGTGTTTGACACGTGTTCGCTTATAAGTTATGGCTGACAGGTGTTTTTTGATTCGTGTTTGATGCTAGGCCACCAATGACAGGTGTTCATAAACAGGTGTTCAAGTGATGGCAAACAAGACAGCTTTAGGCTTGTAAGACATGCACTGTGTCATAATTACTCATTTCTATGCCATAACAAGTGTAACTATGTCATCTGTTTTTTTCCCTTTCAAAGTCAAAATTTATCGTTCAGTTTGATAATGTTTGCGGTTATATGATATGTAAAAATATCTCTACACTACGCACACTTTCATAATTTAACATCCTGTTAAGTGACATCATATATGCTTCAGTGAATTTTTCTCTCCCCCTCTCTCTCTCCCTCTCTCTCTCTCTCTCTCTCTCTCTCTCTCTCTCTCTCCTTCCCACCCATTCCTTAATTTCTACTCTCCTCCCTCCCTTATCTCTCTCCCTCTGCCACCCACCCACCCTTTTCTCTCTACAAATTGCTTAACAACAGAATATAAGAGATAAATAAAATATTGGAAATTAAATATTTAAAAAAGACAATAAGAAATAAGAGAATAAGCAATAGGTAAATGATAAAGGACGAAAGATAAGGACAACTGGGAGAGAGACATGGAAGCAAACACGCTGAAAAGATTTCAGCCTAAAATGGCCAGATAAATGAGGGACTGTAGACAGGACTGAGTTGCAGTCTTTTCTTGGGTATAAGAAAGAAATAGGAGACAAAGATAACAGTTTAGTGAGTAATGATGGGGATTAAGAAGGGAAAAGGGGTTCGGTGACAAGGAGAATTTAGGGGGTGGGGATCGTGTGCAGGTCTATTCTTGGAAGGTTGTTGTGGTGGTCGTGGTGGTGGGATCAGTACACTGAGAGACATCTCTCAGCATATATAAACCAGGAGGCGTGTATCTCGCAGCTTATATACACCAAGAGGCGTGTATCCCTTATTGTGTTTACACACACACAAACGTTTTTCTCTTGGTATAAATACACAAACGTGTACATTTATCATAATTTATAAACACAGAGGCGCATATTTCTCATAGTTTATACAAACAGATGTGTGTATCTTTCAGTGTATATACACTTGAGAGTTTTGTAATTCCTATTTCAGGGGCTGAAGTGTTCTTGATATAAATCTTCGGTTGAGATGCATGCAGCCTTAAAGACCCACTTGTATGCGATAAGCTTAAATAACAACAAAGCAATCACTTGGGATAAACTGGTGAGGACTCCAATGGAAATAAGTCACTTTGATTATTTTGGGTTATCCTAGGTAATTTACACACATGTTATTAGGTATGATAATTATACTTGTGTACCTGTACCCAAATAAACTTGCTTGCTAACTTGATGTTTTCTCTCGCCAGAGTAACAAGCCGCTGATGGAGCGCAGACGAAGGGAGAGAATCAATCATTGTCTCAACGAACTCAAGACCTTGGTCCTCACCGCTCAGAGGAAAGATGTGAGTCCCCAGATTTGTCCTCTTATCCGTTATAAAAAGGTAGCTTCTATCCAGTGTATTCCTCAGAATGTGTGTATCACGTATACTGGTCTACCTACCTGGAATCTACCTGGAGGGCATTCTGGGGATCAACGCCCCCGCGGCCCGGTCCACAACTAGGCCTCCCGGTGGATCAGGGCCTGATCAACGAGGCTGTTACTAAACAAAAAAGGCACAATACCGTGACTGGAACGATACACAAATAACCCGCACATAAAAGAGGGAAGCTTACGACGACGTTTCGGTCCGACTTGGACCATTGACAAAGTCACACACACACACAGTGTGACTTTGTCAATGGTCCAAGTCGGACCGAAACGTCGTCGTAAGCTTCTCTCTTTTATGTGCGGGTTATTTGTGTAAGATATGCAAGTATTGCATGTGTCTTGTTTATTAACCGAGGCTAGTTAAATATTTTACTCTCTGGCAAAATTAGTATTTTTCTTTTTGTCTCATCACATAAGATGACAGGTAAATCTTAAGATTTATTCGGATTTTTAACCCGGAGAGTTATCCACCCAGGATAGTAAGTGTGTCTCACGAAATCGTAATGACACGATTGCAAACAAACCATACCACGGGCGGGGGTAGAACCCGCGATCCGAGAGTCTCAAAACTCCAGACAGTGGCTAACGCGACGGTCTGGAGTTTTGAGACTCTCTGATCGAGGGTTCTATCCCCACCCGTGGTATGGTTTTTTTTTAGTAAGTGTGTCATCGAGGACTATCTCATTTCCAGTAGGGTCCTTCAATCTTGTTCCCCAGGATGCCACCCACACCAGTCGACTAACACCCAGGTATATACTGCTAGATGAACAGGGACAGCAGGTGTAAAGAAATATGACCAACATTTCCACCCGTGTCGGGGATTGAACAACTGACACTCAATGTGAGAGTCCAGAGCGCTGCCAACCAAGCCACTTCTAAATTTTATATGCATTTATATCACGCTACATGGCCTCATGTGGGACCATATAGCGTTTAAAAACATATTGAGTATAAGTTTTTTAATGCTAGATTTTCTTTCAACAGCCAACCCGGTACAGCAAGTTAGAGAAGGCGGACATTCTAGAAATGACGGTGCGCCACGTACAGTCTCTCCATCGTCAGGAGATTTCAACCTCCCGTAACCTCAACGCTGACTCCACCGCCAAATATCGCGCTGGCTTCTCCCAGTGCGCCGCCGAGGTCAGCAGATTCCTCTCCAGTTTGAGTGGTTTGCCTCCTAACCTTCACGCCCGCGTCCTCTCGCACCTCAGTGCCTCTGCCTCACCAGAACCTCCAAGCGTGAAGACTGAAACGGAAGTAGAGGGCGTCCCGGTGCCCAAGGCGTCGCCTCAGCCACAAGATGCACCACAAGGGGTGCCTCTAGTCCAGGCACGACTGGTATCAGGACAGCTGGCACTGGTTTTGCCAGCCTGGACTGCCATTCCGTCTGGAAACAGTTCCCCTAGCAATGCAGCTTCACCGGAGGCTGCAGGTGCTCCCTCCTCCCCGGAGTCAGCACGGGGCAGCCCACAGTCCACGCCTGACGCCCCGGAAGACCGAGCCAGCCCCGAGACCTGCACCAGCAGTAATAATTTACCGTCCACCCGCTTGGAACAACCGTTCAGCCCCACCAGTCAACCCGTGGCTGCAACAGGTCACCAACCAGCCCCACAGATGGTGCCACTAGACCTGGCCACACCCCATCGTCGCTCTGGCCCTCTGGCACAAGGATCCACCAGACAACGAGCCTTTACAGTGTCTGTGGGCGTGGCACCGTCCCCGCCTCACACTCGTAAAGCTGCGGTATTTGCCAGCCCCGCCTCACCACCTGTGGCACAGCGACCTTTAAAATGTGTTACCGTGGCTGCAGCAGCGAGCGGACAGTGCCACAGGCTTCGTGAAGTTCGTCACGCTCCTTACCCCCCTCACAACCCCACTCACAAACCAAACCACAACCTCCACCACCAGCAGAACCCACACTGGCGCCCTTGGTGAACCTACAGCTATTACAAAAGCAAGATTTTATCATAATATCTTACTCAAGGAGAGACTTATCAACTTTAATAAAGCTCTCTCTAACCTAAACATTATGATAAACCCTTAAGCAGTTTCACATGTATTTTTCCTGTGTCCTTTTCATCTGCTTTTTGCCTCTAATACCTAATCTCAGTGGTCACATGAACCACTCGTCATACATGTATATATTCACCTGAAATGTATATTGTTGGATGCAGAAATGAACAAAAAATGACTTCTTCCGGTCCTGTTATCAGTGCCTTTGTAATTCTGTACCTGAACCACTGGCATGTGTCCTGTGTCACTGCAGGTGGCTTGAATCTCATTGTCTTTCATCAATATTATTTTTAACCAATGTTATTTTCTACGCAATTCTTACACATCTATAAACTACTGTAAATATGACTTAGTGTTCCTAATTCCGATGGTGCTGTGATGTGCGTGTGTGGTGTATTTACCTGTCGTTGCAGGGGGTGTCGATCCTTAGCTCCTGGCCCCGTTTCTCCGATGGCAGGCACTGGGTTCGCTCTTCTAGCTGCGCAAGCTCCATGTGTGTGTGTTGTGTGTATACAGTGTGTATGCCATGAAGAAGAGTGAGTAGTTCCTGTTTGTGTATGTACGTGTACCATTAAGGTGTGTACAAACGCACGTGTATTTCACAGGAGAGATGCTTGGTACGCTTGCTCAAGAGAGAGAGAGAGAGAGAGAGAGAGAGAGAGAGAGAGACTGACAAGAGTTGATGATCGTAAGTTATGTTGTTGAACGAGAGAGGCTGGTGACAGTATTTCACTCCCTCTAGTAAGACCTCTAGTAGTGAACACTCAAGAAGGGGGGGGGTTGTTTAAAACTAGCTGGGGTTGTTTAAAACCAGCTAGGAGTGTTCAAAACCAGCTGGGGGTGTTCAAAACCAGCTGGGGGTGTTCAAAACCAGCTGGGGGTGTTCAAAACCAGCTGGGGGTGTTCAAAACCAGCTGGGGGTGTTCAAAACCAACTGGGGGTGTTCAAAACCAGCTGGGGGTGTTCAAAACCAGCTGGGGTGTTCAAAACCAGCTGGGGGTGTTTAAAACTAGCTAGGGTTGTTCAAAACCAGCTGGGGTTAAGTTCAACTGGTCTTAACAAGCTGGGTTACACTTGTTTTCCCCTTGACTGTAATAACTCATTGGAAACTCAAAAAAATCATTACCAGTACAAATATGAGTGCATATGTACCTATATTTCATAAATAAATATATCCACATATCCAGGGTACTTTTATTTATATTCTTCAACCTCCCGGGGGTTTAAAAAACAAATGTCAACAAACAGTTGGAGCGATCAGCTGACAACAACAACAACAACACGTTGCCGGGGAAAACTTTCTACAGGTATGTGCCCTCGGGGACTGCCAGACGCGCTGGTATCCTTCAGGATTCTTTCTTCTCCCCAACCCCATTCTGGGATCGTACCCCATTGATTCCTATTCTAACCCCAGATGCTGTGGGATCCCCATGGGCTTGGCTCTCCCTTCTCTTAATATAGTTAAAAAAAAAAATTGTGATCTTTGGCCATCCTTAGTGCCCCCAAAAAATGTGATCTTTGGCCATCCTTAGTGCCCCCAAAAATATATCTTTTACCATAGAAGTTACTGTAAATTAGATTAGAAGAGGAAGACAGCTATCAACTCTACGCAGAGGGATCGTAAGACGCAGATTACTTAGTTAATGGGGGTTTAAAGGCTATCGGCAACACGAGGGTCATTAAGGCTACGTGTCACCTGCTCTCCGTCAAGAATTCTTTAATCCCTAAAATATTGACTATTATCGCAGTATTACATAGGATATATACACCTCTTGGTGTATATATACTATGTAAGGCACCGTAGCTGGAAGTGTTTAAAGTGGTTCAACACCTGCTGTGAGTAGCAATCAAGTAACAGGGAACTGTTAGAGAAACTGTTGGACTGAAGCTGCCTCCAGTTACTCTGTGGAACAGACCGTTAAGGGACAACCTACCAGATATTCCGTTATATTTTTTATGCAGTTGAATTTACAGGCTATGAGCTGTTATCCTACCTCAGCTCACAGGCTGGGAGGTGTTATCCTACCTCAGCTCACAGGCTGGGAGATGTTATCCTACCTCAGCTCACAGGCTGGGAGATGTTATCCTACCTCAGCTCACAGGCTGGGAGGTGTTATCCTACCTCAGCTCACAGGCTGGGAGATGTTATCCTACCTCAGCTCACAGGCTGGGAGGTGTTATCCTACCTCAGCTCACAGGCTGGGAGGTGTTATCCTACCTCAGCTCACAGGCTGGGAGATGTTATCCTACCTCAGCTCACAGGCTGGGAGGTGTTATCCTACCTCAGCTCACAGGCTGGGAGATGTTATCCTACCTCAGCTCACAGGCTGGGAGATGTTATCCTACCTCAGCTCACAGGCTGGGAGATGTTATCCTACCTCAGCTCACAGGCTGGGAGATGTTATCCTACCTCAGCTCACAGGCTGGGAGGTGTTATCCTACCTCAGCTCACAGGCTGGGAGGTGTTATCCTACCTCAGCTCACAGGCTGGGAGGTGTTATCCTACCTCAGCTCACAGGCTGGGAGATGTTATCCTACCTCAGCTCACAGGCTGGGAGGTGTTATCCTA